TGGAGATGGATTGGATCAGGCATACACTGAGAAGGTCGACTGGTGACATCACGCATTAGGCCAGGTCATGCCCTTGAGCGGAACCCAGATGGGAAACGACAAGTTTGGTGTCCGAGGTGAGGGTGACATGGAGGAGATGGTGTGAGGAAGAAATGAGAGGTTGTGGGCAGTCGTGGAGCCAGGTTCAAAGATTTCAGAGAACAGAGCGGAATAGAGACATGCTACTGAAGCCTTATGTTTTATTAGGAACCCAAGGGATAAGTAATAATAATAATAATAATAATAATAATAATAATAAAAATAATATGTATACATAGCAGAATGAAATAAGTTTAAACTATGGAAAGAACATAAGAATATTTTCTCGGTCTACAGCTTTCTTGAAAAAACAGTTAATTTAGGTATATAATCGCATTAGCAATATGGTTCATAATACACAAATAACAGCAAACTGAATACTCACCAATTAGTTTGCTTTTAAAAACAGTTGATTAGTTAGTTCGTTCGTAATACTTTTTTATCGCACAGGAGACGAGCCAATTATGATATTGTAGAGTTTTTATATTCTGTAGTACGTGCATAAATTTTTATGTACTTTCTCTATGTCTTTCCATATGACCAATACCCAGAGAGCTTTGAATGAAGAGGATGCTGGTCACCTGATAAAATAACTCCTACCAGATGTTTACATGAGTTAAGATGTTTATCCACAACTGTTTTATGCCAGATACTTTCAACTTCGTAATATAAAAAGTTAGGCGGAAAATTCTTTCCGAAATTAATAAGATATGGAAGGACCAGGAAAGGTTCGAAGAAAAACATACCGAGATAAATCACACTTGTAACACTGTCTAATGCACAACTATCAACAGAACAGAAATCATAAGAACTAAGCTGTTAGTTAGCACTATACTAGAGTAATATCCATCTAATAAGATGGTATTATCTGTTCACTTTAGGGATCAAAAGAAAAAATATGCGGAAGAACTCAAGATTTCATTTCTGAGTAAATGATTCAACTAAAGAATCGTAGAGAAACTTATGAATATTATAAAACTAAACGACTCCCTCAAGATATTACATACACTTCGAACAGTAAAGCGTCGTATGCTTCCATATATACAACGGTGTATTATTAACTATAGTTGAGGTTTTCTGCTAGACCATGGCACTGACCTTGTACAATTGTCGAAACCACGCAGTGTGACATTGGTAACTGTAAATCAGTGCTAAAACCACTGAAGTCTTAAGTACCGACAAATGACAAAGTTACTGTATAGTAATCGGTTTGAACACAATACACGAAAGATCCGACATACTATCTGCGTATAAATAGTAAATTCTGATAAAATTTTGAGATAGATTCATGCCCCAAGGGATTTAATACCCACCTATAAAAGTACACTCCTAACTTAGACATTTAATGCTTTCATTGGCGGAATGACCCTATGTTTTCTTCTTATATCACCATAGTATTTGAGGAGAAAGTTTTACCCCCAAAATAAGTGGTTTTTATGAGTTTTTCAAACATCAAGTTTATTATTTAGTTGAAAGTTTACAATTATTTTTGCATGCTATTAGTTAAGTGGTTATCAAGGGGCATACGGTAGTTAGATACCGATAGGCTATCTGTATGAGTAACTTAAGAGTTAGGGTGGTTCATCAACTTAGACACCGCACTTGCGGCACACAGTGGGTTTTGAGTTTGAACTCCACTGCACCTACTTTGACCGTAACAATCACCTAGCATCAAAACTCTCACAAATTAAATATGGCTTTTTACGCAAACCCGTTGATAGTGCTGAGCAACAACATTACTTTTGAAACATGGAATGTCTATGAGCTTCGTTTCGACAAAATACATAAGAAACGATAAGACTAAGATGCAGGACAGAATGTTTATTATACAGTACAGTAGTGATGAGATATTGTACACTTCTTAATTAAATAGTCATTTGCACAATGTGTTTCATTTCATCTTCTATTTCTATCTCGACTTGTTCTTAATACGCTCAGATTGTCTTGTGCATTCTTCTGAGCAAAATATTAACTCATAGCTGGTAATTGCCTATTATTTTTGCTCCCCTCTCAACATATACTACTCGTATCCATTCTTATCAGTAGCACCCACTACAAATTTACAATAGATATGCATCAAATTTCTATCTTATTTATTCAAGTATTTCATATAATTATCCAGATTTTCTGTCAACTGCTTACAAAATGCATGGTAAGTAGTCAGGTGAGGTGAGGTGAAAGATGAAGATAAGAAAATTCAGTCAAAATAAATCTAAACTACGAGATGAAAGGAAGGATGACAAAATGGTGAGACTCGGTATAGTGTTAAGATGAGGATAATGTGTGTATAACGTCTGCGCCACTGACATCGGTCCTGAGCCATATCCCCTAGTCTCCAGCCACTGGTTTCTCTTGTCCCACGGACCACAACTATCCAGTCTGCATTGCTCTACATAGCTCAAACCATCAGTCAGAGACTTCATGCATTGGTGTCATGTTTTAGTTTGGCCACCTCGGACCTTTCTCCAGCCTGGGCCTACTTCGACCGACATTGTATGACGAAGCGATCGGCGACTAGGCATACGTAGTATGTGTCTCAACCATCTCAATCGATGAAGGTTCATAACCTCATCAACTGATTTACCTCTACCCCCTAAAACTCTACACCTGACTTCTGCATTACTCACATGGTGACACCACGCAATATGGCCTATACTACGAAGGAAACGGTGGTCAAACACTTGAAGCCTGCTCACGTCTTCCACCTTCAATGGCCATGTTTCACAGACATGGGGTAGAACAGATCGGACTGCTATGCAGTAGATGCGACCCTTAATAGACAAACGGACATCACAACGACGCCATAGATAGCGTAAATTGGCAAAAGCCAATCGAGCATTTTGTATCCGTGCAGAGATTTCATCGGCAACTGACCCACCAGGTCTGATCATACTTCCTAGGTTGACACACTCAACCATTTCACTCTCTTTTGTTAGCCGTGGCACTGCTAAAGACCAACCCTGGAGCAAAAATTTGCATTTGTGTGGTGAGAACCGCATCTCATACATTCTCAAATTCCTGCTCAAAGTGTTCAGAAGACTGCAATTCCAGATACTTTAGTTAACTTTCGTGTTACACAATGTAGTTTTAAATAACAGCAGATACGTAAGGCTTTTAAAAAAAAGCATTAAAAATCAAATTACAAGTGTTTCTCCATTTTTGTGCACTAGATTAACACTGATGTAAACTGCTTTCACTGGTAAATACTAACACATTCATTTTTCTGTGGTAAGATACACTAAGCAGTGTTCCATTGTATAAAGCACATGTTTGAAATAAACATTACCAGAAGTTAGCAAGCTGTAGAAAAATAGTAGTAAGGCATAGTCAGCTTTTAAGACTCCAGGATTTCACTACTTTCTTTCCTTGCAATTCAACTAATTTATTATCGAATGAGTTTTCAAATGACTACTGAAAAAATTCATTAGTCTACTGAATACAATAATTATAATGGAGTAATTCACTTTATGTAGTTCCGCACAGTGAATTAAAAAGTAGCTAGTCAAAACCTAGTTGATTCAAAAAACTTCAGCTTAATCATTCCGGGTGTAACGTTGATGAAATTAGCTTCAAATGAGAAAAATGAATATCCATTATCAAAACCACATTTTCCTGGTGATTAGCGTGAATATTCTAAAACTATAGACTTCAATACGTAGAATATATAATTTTGAGGAAGTTGTGGGGATTTGGAAATATTTCAAGTTGTTATTGATTGTAGACTGACATTAGTTGGAGGAACAAAGGAAACCTGGGAGCACTGGACAGTTGTTTCGTCCCACTAGTATGGGACTCCTCAGCAGTGCGCACTCACGACCGCACCAGGGATCAAACCCGTGACCTTCAGGTTCCGTGGCTAGCACGTTACCATTGGGTCGAGATCCCATTGTCCATATTTCCAACTTCGATCCCGGGCGGGGTCGTGGGTGAGCACTGATGAGGAGTCCCGTACTAATGGGACGAAACAGCTGTCCAGTGCTCCCAGGTTTCCTTTGTTCCTCCAACTGATGTCAGTCTACAATGAATAACAGCTTGGAATATATAATTATTAGTTTCCTGTATTTGCTATACAACGTAGCCAGTAGAAAAAATCCGAAGCATCATTCACAAAGGTTTTGTGATTATTGACTAAGAGTGACCACCTCAAGATATCGCACTAATCCATGAGATTTTACGCTGTTGGTTTGGGCCATTCAAGGAGAGGTTTTCTTACCAAAGTTCCAAGATAGCCGAAGTCAGATACGAGGTGATATTAAAGAATCGTAACCAGACGCATTCACATCTTACTTTTAAAGCAATACCACATTATGTTGTTTATCCCATCATCTCTTTTTGTTCAACAGCTGACTACTACTTTTGATTAGTTACTCCTATTTCTTTGTTATCTACCTTCATGTATTGATGTGAAGCTGTTGGTATTTCTTAGCACGAATGCCACATCCTCCTTTTTGTCTTTCTTTTTCAGTATCATGAATTTCTCTTAAGTGTGACTGCTGTTGACTGGAGAAGTGGAGAGGTTACTTTTTTATCTAGTACCTTAAAAAAGCGATGATTTATCCATTTCTGAGTAAAGTAGTTTCATAGATAAGAGATTATTTGAGGCCAGAAGGGAATGTTATACAAAACAGTAGTCAGGAGCCATCAAGTACTGAACACTTAACCTGATAATAATTATTTCGGTAGGTATCACAAACCAACACTCAAGTTATGAGTATACTCAAGCATAGTAATAATGCTATGTGGTAAATAAGTCTGAACTTCATGTAATATGTTGAGCTACGTCTACTCTGTTACGACTAACAGGGTGGTTAGCTGTTCATACTACAGTAAAAAGAAGTAGACTTCTGACTAGTGAACTAATCTTTGCCTATGCTTTCTTTAATGAACTCAATATCCATTGATCATTCATAAATGAAGCTTGCATTAATGCCTAATGATAACATTGAACCCATAAGAGATCAGAACACATGAACTTGATACTTACATTGAAATGATTAAAAGTTCTCATTATGACTATAAAGGAAGAAATTCTATGCAGAGATGAATTATTCATCAGACGAAAACGAATCAACAACATTTTTTTTAAAAAAAAAAAGAAATTAAAGTATAAAAAAAAATTATTCACAATTGATGTCAGAAAATAAAATTATTAATAATAACAATATTAAGGATGGTATTAAACAAACGTTTGACATCAAATCAAAACATTGAACAATAACACTGAAAACCAAAATAAAAAATCTGAGTAGTAGTTACCAATGTATCATATTTAAATGTTCATTGTATACAAAGTTATTTTCCTGCTTTGTGAATTAAAGGAAGACCAATTGAAATCAATAAATTATAGGTTAATTTTACACATAAAAAGATTATTAGAGCATTATTAATAATGTTATTATTGCTCTTTTCTATACACAATACTCTGTCTTCATTTTTTATATTGACCCATTATATGATTATAGACATAGCAGCAGATAAAAATTGTTCAAAACTAAACTGTGCCCATCCATTACAATTTACATCATATTGCTTGAAAGAATTGGTGAGAATCTATTAAGAAATAAAGAATAGTAGTCAACATGAAGTAATTTACACAAGACTTTGATTGAAGTAAGAATATATGCATAATTACTGTTTGATAAACTATAACTTAAAATATGAAAACTTTACATTTTAAACAGTTTCTATCATACTTAGGAATGACTAGAACAATGTGAATAGAAAAAGATAACAATTAGCGCAAATATTGAAGATTTAAATGTTAAGGAGTAAATACATCTACGTTATTGTAACCGATTTTCAGCCATATCACCAAGATTCCTTAACCACTGATTCCTTTCGTCTCGAGGAACCCGAACCACATAGAATTCAGATCAACCGAAAGAAACTTCATGAACTGGTGCTACATTTTGGTCTAGCCACCCTAAACCTTCTTCTAACCTAATCTAACTTCCCTCAGCATGGGGCGTCGAAGTGGAGGTGAATCAGCATGCGCAACATATATCCAAGCCACCTTAACGATGAAAGTTCATGGCCTCATTAATCAACTTGACTTTCTTGCCTACTACCTTAAGCCTGACCTCAACACTGCTCATACGATGATTCCACCAAACGTGAGCAATGCTACGAAAATATATGCGATCAAGAATTGTATGAAGACAATGAATTGTAAATAGAATGAGTAAAACTAAGCTAGTGTGCAATCTTTTGTTTATAAGAGGAGATAAAAGGTGAGTGCAACTGTATCATTAGTGCCAATTCAAGCTAATTATGAACAATGCTGGCAACCACCGATGGATATAAACTTGAGGACATTAACCACAATGTTTGCAGGTGCTTTTAAGATTCAGGTGAACATCTAATACCTTCATTCATCTCTACTATCTTATTCTAATAACATTAAGGCCTCTATTCACATCGTTTTTAACTTCAGTCAAAAGCGTACGAGAAGGTAGGGGTGACTGAACATTGAGAAAACATACTGCTGGAACCTTACGAGGTAATACCAGGTCCCATGTTGAAATTGATAGATTGACTTATCTGTGAAAAAACTCTGAACATAGCCATAAGGTTTCCCAACAAGAGGTTTTGTAACACACAGGTAAGATTTTAAAGACATTCGTGATCGAATATTTCTCCTGTACATACATATTACTGGTAGACTGTCGCAATTTATATTCAACCTGAGGTGGTAAAACAAATATCTCTGTGACATCACGCATGGTTAAATCTTATGAATGGTGGGTTATCATCTGAACTAATTCAGGTGGTCATTTTCCACAGGCAAATGTAAAGACATTAGTGCATATTCATCGTGCGAGAACGAATATAAGATATTATGCGAACATCGCTTGTTTTCTTCAGAAAAATTGAATTTTGCCAATGCCTTCATTCAGAAGAACGATTTAATAACTCATTATAGAACCTGCTATTAATTACTATTTACCGGACTATTGATGTCACTGGTTTTAGGATTTTTAAGTACTTCAGTTACCTTCAGAAAATCTCATCAACACGACTTTACGAAAAGCTTTAACTAGAAAATATATTTGGAACTTGACTAATGGATGATTTTGATTAGCTCAGAGCGATGTAGACCTCACAGCCACATCAGTGACCAATTCGTGACTTGAATAGCTTAGTCATAGTCACCGCAACGTTAGATAATATAGATTTTATGTTTTAACTGGAAGCCCGCAAGGACCTTCTGTTCTTTTCCCCCTTTTAATTTGCAGCCTTCTCAGCTTCAGAAAGAGTTGGACGCCCTATCAATATTACCACCAGGTTGCAGGTGGATCATAAACAGAGTAGTTGCATGCAACTTGAAATACTCTACAAAGTCTTCTGCTCGGTTGCCGCTTCTGAGTGGATTGCTGGACAACTTTCCTCAACTATACTTCTATATGCTGGATTTTTCACGCCAACCAGTCTAGGAAACGATTTTCTTCAACTTTGTGCCGCTATCATTTTACACATTAAAGTAAACTAATGTTTTGGTGCATTTACCTGAAGACATACACAAGCGTAAATGAAGTCATCAAAGGCAATTTGTCCCCGTTTATTGCGATCAAAACGACTGATCATGACTTGTATGAAACCAGGAGAAAGCCGATAACCAAAGGAGGATAATGCCCACTGAAGTTCACGTGCATCAATAAGTCCGGATCTATCTTGATCAAATCGACGAAAACACTGTTGCCACTCTTGAACATACTGAAATAGACTAGTAAATTCATTGGCGTCAATTGTACCGTTTCCATCTCGGTCAAACATTGAAATCATCAGCTGAATAGTTCTTGTATTGAATGTGGTCCCTATACCTTTAAGAAATAAGTGGATATTTGAAACAATCGGTCCCTTTTATAACTTTGGATAACTTAATTAGAAAAAAAGCGATGTATTTACGTCATACATTTCGAACAATCTGATCACACATTTATTTGTTAAGACATTTTATATGAAAAATGAAAATGGGAGAAAGACAAATATGATATACGTCTGTATTCTGTAGGTTCAGACATATTCACATGCATTGGATACCATAGACTTAACGGATAATGCATTTGTTTACTGTTAGAATACAGTTATCACAAGTTGACAATGCGGCGTAAAGGGTGGAAAATTTGAGTGTAAAATGTCGACATTATGGCAGGATTCAGTTTCATATTATCATGATACTCGATATGATTATGAGCGATGAATTATGCTCAGAACTTCATCCAGTATATAATTCCAGGAGTGTAAACACTGTTAGTTAGCATCATCATCAAAATCAACATAGGACCAAGCATTAATGCGTAACAGTCAAAACTGCAACACCTCTATATCAGCACATCGAACAACAACGCAATGAAATGGAAGACAAAGAAGGGGAGAAAAACCGGTCGAAAGAAGTAAAAAGTAGTAAAACAGAGGAACGAAGAATGAGAAAATGATGAGATCAAGCATAGTGGTTAAGATGAGGATAATATGTATATACATCTGCGCCGCTGACATAGGTTCTAAGTCACATTACCTAAAGTCTCTAACCACTGGTTTCTCTTGTCCCACGGACCCCAACTACCCAGTCTGCATCGCCCTACATGGATTAAACAAACAGTCAAGGACTTCATGCATTCATGCGATGTTTCATTCTGGTCACCCCGAGCCTTTCCCCAGCCTGAACCTACTTCGACCAACATTGTGTGACGAGCCGATCGGCGACTAGGCATACGTAGTATGTGTCCCAACCATCTCAATCGATGAAGTTTCATAACCTCATCAACTGATTTACCTCTACTCCCCAAAACTTTAAGCCTGACTTCTGAGTTACTCACGCGGTGACACTGAAAAACACCATCTGTGCTATGAAGGCAACACTGGCCAAACACCAGAAGCATTCTCATATCTTCTATCTTCAATGACCATGTTTCACAGCTATACGGTAGAACAGAGCGTACTGTAGCACAATACACTTCTCTTAGTTATACAGAGCAGTCGTTTAACTTCACAGCTCACATGTCACGTTAGGTCACCTTCGAGTTCACATGTGAATGAACTTTTCAGTTTCTACTAGAAGTTTTCAGACACTGAATAATAATTTGAAACCGTTAGTCCCCTTTATGAATTTGGATAATGTAATTAGAAGACGTAGATTATCTGAAAAATGTGATGTATTAGCGCTATACATTTCGAACAATCTGATCACACATTTACTTGTTAAGGCATTATATATGAAAACTGGAAGTGGGGGAAGGACACATATGACATAAAGGAATTCAATAATAAGAAAGATAATGAGAGGAATAAAAGATAAGACTTGAAGACAATCTTGGTAATACGATAAAATAAGCATTACCAAGGTAGGCTTAATGTAAGGACAAACTGTTTTTGCACACACAATGGGGGGTTAAATTTATTTATGGCTAGCGCCTCAACAAACTTAAGTATACGCCCCTGACAGTTTCGGTACAAAATTGTAAAGGCTGTCTTGATATCAATTCTGTGACTCTTATCAATGATATGTTTCGCAATGGATGATGATGGTTGTCTGCCATCTGCGCTTATCAATGTTTGTGAATCCAGCTGCTTTCGTAGCCACTTTGGAACATGTTCCCCTACCCTCAAGTGCATATCACGATTCGTCCTCCCTATGTATGTTTGTCCACACACACATGTAAATTTATAAACGCAATGGGATGTGACACAATCGTTTATACAGCGTTGAGGTCTAGGTAGCAGCAGGTGTTTGGTCTTCTCAACTATGATAAGCTTAGCTGCATAGTACGTTTTGCTAACAGCAGACCTTAACCTTCGTTTTAATATTATGCTATTAGATTCTCCTCTGTATGGTAACGCGATGTAAACGCATTTCTTCGAAACAGAGCACAGATCAGGTTTGAATCCTCGCTGATTTTTGCAGCGGTTTATGAACTTCAATGGATATCCATTTTCCACTAATGTTTCCGTTAGTATTTTGATATCATCATCCATTGAGTCCTCCGTACAAATACGTTCGATCCTTTTAAATAGACAAATTACCAAACCTCGCTTGTATTGGGTTGGACAAAAGCTATGGAAACTTAAATACTGACCTGTCCAAGTAGGTTTCCTGTAGATCGACCGTTTTATTGAACCATCATTTCTACGACTTAGGAGTATATCCAAGAATGGCAGACGGTTTTCTTTTTCTTCTTCACTTGTCAGGCTTATGTTGTTTTGTACGTTGTTAAGTCTTTCTAACAAACATGTTGCATCTTCATGCTTATCACATATGACGATTATATCATCGACATATCTTTTATAGAGAGTAACTTTATTGATGAGATCGCCGGTCAAGCTCTCAATGTGTGACATGTAAATATCAGCTAGCAATGGTCCTAAAGGACTTCCCATAGCCACACCATCTATTTGTCGAAAATGTTCACCTTCAAATGTGAAATGAACTTTATCGGTACACAATAATAACAGCTCTCTCAAACACGTTGAGGGGATAGGGAAAGAAGGATTACTGGAAGATATATGGTCACAAAGAATGTCAATGGTTTTAATTAGGGGTACATTAGTAAATAAGGAGTTGACATCAAATGAATACAATCTCTTATCTTTGATATTAATATCACTGACATAATTAACAAGTTCAAAAGTATCTTTTAAAGAAAACTTACATAAATCATTTCGAATAGGAATTAGAGTTTTTGCTAACCATTTCGCCACTTTATGTGTAGGTGAACGGAACATGGAGAGTATAGGACGTAAAGGATTATCTGTTTTATGAATTTTAGGCAATCCATACAGATTAGGTAGCTCAGACCCCATCGGTTTGAGGGAAGCAAATTCTTCCTTGTTGATAACATTGATATTCAGGAGTTTTACTAGACTAGATGTTACTTTGCATTCTAATTTTCTAAGGTCGTCTGATGGAACATCAGCCATAAATTTACTTTCATCGCTAAGGATGGACATCATCTTGTTTTTGTAATCACATTTGTCCATCACAACCACACCGGACCCTTTATCGGGTTTGAGAATGATAATATCAGATCTATTTCGAAGTCCTTTTAGGGCTTTGAAATGTTGTGAAGTTAGGATACTTCGCTGTCTTGGGCCTGAACTATGGAACTGATGGGCAATATCCACCAGCTTAGCCTTAAACCAACTCTGATTATCTGAGGAGGTTGGAACAAGGGGAAATAACTGATCATAAAGACTTTCAAATTGGGCATCAATAGCCAAATCCGAAACTTTCGTGTGGGGAACCGAAAAACTGAATCCAAGGGAAAGCGCCTCCTTCTCACACGTCGAAAGTTGAAAGTCTTTATGATCAGTTATTTCCCCTTGTTCCAACCTCCTCAGATAATCAGAGTTGGTTTAAGGCTAAGCTGGTGGATATTGCCCATCAGTTCCATAGTTCAGGCCCAAGACAGCGAAGTATCCTAACTTCACAACATTTCAAAGCCCTAAAAGGACTTCGAAATAGATCTGATATTATCATTCTCAAACCCGATAAAGGGTCCGGTGTGGTTGTGATGGACAAATGTGATTACAAAAACAAGATGATGTCCATCCTTAGCGATGAAAGTAAATTTATGGCTGATGTTCCATCAGACGACCTTAGAAAATTAGAATGCAAAGTAACATCTAGTCTAGTAAAACTCCTGAATATCAATGTTATCAACAAGGAAGAATTTGCTTCCCTCAAACCGATGGGGTCTGAGCTACCTAATCTGTATGGATTGCCTAAAATTCATAAAACAGATAATCCTTTACGTCCTATACTCTCCATGTTCCGTTCACCTACACATAAAGTGGCGAAATGGTTAGCAAAAACTCTAATTCCTATTCGAAATGATTTATGTAAGTTTTCTTTAAAAGATACTTTTGAACTTGTTAATTATGTCAGTGATATTAATATCAAAGATAAGAGATTGTATTCATTTGATGTCAACTCCTTATTTACTAATGTACCCCTAATTAAAACCATTGACATTCTTTGTGACCATATATCTTCCAGTAATCCTTCTTTCCCTATCCCCTCAACGTGTTTGAGAGAGCTGTTATTATTGTGTACCGATAAAGTTCATTTCACATTTGAAGGTGAACATTTTCGACAAATAGATGGTGTGGCTATGGGAAGTCCTTTAGGACCATTGCTAGCTGATATTTACATGTCACACATTGAGAGCTTGACCGGCGATCTCATCAATAAAGTTACTCTCTATAAAAGATATGTCGATGATATAATCGTCATATGTGATAAGCATGAAGATGCAACATGTTTGTTAGAAAGACTTAACAACGTACAAAACAACATAAGCCTGACAAGTGAAGAAGAAAAAGAAAACCGTCTGCCATTCTTGGATATACTCCTAAGTCGTAGAAATGATGGTTCAATAAAACGGTCGATCTACAGGAAACCTACTTGGACAGGTCAGTATTTAAGTTTCCATAGCTTTTGTCCAACCCAATACAAGCGAGGTTTGGTAATTTGTCTATTTAAAAGGATCGAACGTATTTGTACGGAGGACTCAATGGATGATGATATCAAAATACTAACGGAAACATTAGTGGAAAATGGATATCCATTGAAGTTCATAAACCGCTGCAAAAATCAGCGAGGATTCAAACCTGATCTGTGCTCTGTTTCGAAGAAATGCGTTTACATCGCGTTACCATACAGAGGAGAATCTAATAGCATAATATTAAAACGAAGGTTAAGGTCTGCTGTTAGCAAAACGTACTATGCAGCTAAGCTTATCATAGTTGAGAAGACCAAACACCTGCTGCTACCTAGACCTCAACGCTGTATAAACGATTGTGTCACATCCCATTGCGTTTATAA